TTTTTTTTTTTTTTTTTTTGTACCAGGGATCTAACTTGGGACCTTGTGCTTGTGAGGCAGGTGGTGGAACCACTGAGCTAAATCCCTGGCCCACCCAGCAAAAATCCTTACCTCTGTTTTATAGATGAAGCATTGACGCTAGGAAAGACTCAGTGACTTTGACCAAGGTCATTTAGTTTGAGACCATATTCATAACTCAAGTCTGACAACCACCATAGCCACCTGATTTTCACTCAATGGCTTAGCACCCTATTAGTACATGAAGATGCATCCCAAAGTGGCTTAAGACAAACCAGGCAAGACTGAGTTTTTTAATTCTAGTGGTTTGGCTCAAAACCCAGACTCCAGTCAGGCTAATTCCATGCTGTTTCATGCAGCCAGTAGTCCCATCAGCCAGGCCACTGGGAAGCTGACAAGAGTCAAAGGACTCCCTGGCAGGCTTGTCCTGGCAGTGACCCAGCTGACTTGTGCTAACACAGAACAGGAAAGGGTCTAGCAAGAATGGAAAAGCACCAGACACTGAGCCGCTGAGGGGAGAGGTGATTCCCACCCTGCTCAGACAGGATAACCTTGCTCCACAGCCACCACCATCAGGAGGCTGGGAACAAGCCTGGGGGAGGAGGGAACAAGAGCCAAGCACAGGTACTTACTGACGTGTTTCAGTGAACTGAATGTTGGGCCAATTTAAAAGAGGGTCACATAACTCCAAGGTGAATTAGCAAGTATGGAAGAAAACCAGTCCATGCCCTGGTACATTCCAACCCTGACCTGTCTTTGACTACAGTCACAGAAACCCTGCTACTTAATGTCACCTATGCACAGTAGGAGAGCACCTAGAAGATACTGTAACATCTTAAGAGTTGCTAGAGAAGCCTCGGATCTTAGCCAGCCCATGGGAAAGGAAGACTGAGCTGAGAGTATTAATAGACTTGCTAGAGTCAGAAATTCAGCCAGGACACTCCCTAGGAAGTGAAATTATATAAAAGGGGGGCACCAAGTGAGAATGGAAGAAGACAGCAACTTGGATTTCCAAAGATAGGGCTTCTTCAACCAGACATTGGTAGGAGATACCTAAAATATCTGTGGGAAAAATCTGTGGGTATTGTCCCTGTGGCTTTCTATCCTCAAATATTTTGCTTAGGTTGATATTAAACTGTACATGTGTAGGATACACAAAAGAGTTTTCAATGGAAATCAATTCTGTGACCTAATATTTGCTACAAGTTGTTAGGAAAAAAACATAACTCTCAGATGTCATTAGGAAAGGGACATTTTTTTGTTGTTGATTTTGTTGAAGTGCTGGGGATCAAACCCAGGGCTTCACTCACACGTTAGACAAGCCCTTACCACTAAGCTACACCACCCCACCAGCACAAGAGGGGCATTTTTGAGAGATCAGAAATTGGCCCCCACTGGATCCAATTAACCTGAGTATGTCACCATGCTTAGATTTTTAAAAAATGAACTGCCAACAGTTTTTTAAAACATAAGTTTCTATAGATTAAAAAAAAATTCCACTGAACTTCTGGATTTGTAAGGGAAAAAAGTGGAAAACTGGTGCCACTAAGGAAGCAGCAAATTGGAAGCTGAATCACTACTGCCCCCTCTTGGCAGGGTTGCACTTTGCCCATTTGTCATCTGATCCTGTAGGCAGAAACTTGGTATTTCTGTTTTAGCCTAGGGCAGGTACCAGGTCTAGTAATGCTTAAAACCACCACAGGGTGGCGGCACAGGTCTATCAATGCGGAAGGCCACCAGCCAGAACCTTAACCAGATACTGAGCTTAGTAGATCTGTTGGAACCAGAAATCTCACCTTCCTCGGGTAGTAAGCAGTCTTTCCCCACTACCATCCGACTTATTTCCCCAGGGGCAACAGCAGCTCCGCTCAACATCTCCACCAGGCTGCAGCAACACTGAGGGGAAGCCACTGACTGGACTTGATCCTTCCTATTCAGGCCAACACTTAGAGCGCCCTCCTCCTTGCCCACTCCCCAGCAGGCATCTGACTTGTTCGGGAATTCTGCCTTCCCCACGAACACCAGCCATCCCCAGAAGAAACACAGTAATCCTGAGAGGAGACAAGGCAAACACCCTCCCTTTTTCCAGGCAGATTCCCTCTTCAGTGATCACTAGGATGCTTCCCTGTACACTTAGTTTAGACACAAGTCAGCTTCAGGAGCAGCACGTTCTTCTGCCTCTCCCAGCCCTCTGCTCACTGCCCTTACCCCACAGCAACATCGCAAGTGGTGACACTTAGCATTAACTCCCACAACCCTTTCAGTGAGACGCTTGTTAGGGTTCATGGACTCCTCTGAAAACTGTTCGTTCCACGTCATCCAAATGCCATTTACTGTTTCCACCACTGCTTCCAAAATGCAGGAAGAGCCGAACATAAAATAGTTCTTGTAGTATTTAAACATGTGAATATCCAGAAACAATTATAATGTCCAGCAATAAGGAAACTTAAAAATCAATTTTTGTTATATTATATTCTTCAGGAAGTACATATTAAAAATTATGACCACGTGATAAGTTGAAAAATGATTTTAAGAAACATGAAAAAGCAATGTAAAATTTAAGGCATAATGGTGTAACTGTCTTTAAAAACTACACAGAAGTCGGGCATGGTGGCAAATGCTTGTAATTCTAGCACTTGGGAGGCTGAGGCAGGAGGATCACCATGAGTTCAAGGCTACCCTGAACTACATAGCAAAACCCTGCTTCAAAAACAAAAGCAAATAAACTACACAGAAACTAGTGAAAAGATAACAAAATTCTAACAGTGGTTGTATTACAGTGCTGGAAGTGTTGGTGACCTTGTTCTAATTCCTACCATATTTCCCTTAATGTGTATATATTGCTTTTCTCATAGAGAAAAGGAGGATGGCAGACGTGTGAGCTTTAGACTTTGAAAGAGCTATTGCCTCTAATCATGATGGTAAAAAGGCTCTTGGGAACCACTGCCTCCAGGATTCACAGCAGCCACTCAAGAAAATAAAAATTTCCAGGGCCCCAGAGTCCTTAACCACTATCATTGTCCTACTCCAAATGCCATCTAGAAGACAGGATGCAATCAAAATGGTTCTCAGATGCCACTTTAATCAAGGTTTTCACTACACAGTGATGAGGGACAGAGGGCAGTGATTGTCTTCAAGCAAATTCACCAGACACATGTTCCTCCCTGCCCCAGCAGGAACAGCCTGCGCATCTGACAACAGAAAACACTCTCCTTCCCCAGGGAATCCCATTCCTGAGCTGACAAGAGGAGTTCAGGACGAATGATCACAAAGGGTAGGGCAAACTACTCAAGGGAACCAGGTAGATTTCTGAATTCTTCCCAGAGCAAACTGGAACTAGACACGTGGGTATCCCTCCTAAAGGGAACACCCAAGTCCCAGCCATTCCCACTTGAGGCCAGACCACCTCCCCGGGGAGACTGGAGCCCATGTTCATTTACAGCACTCCTCTGGGCAGTCACCAACCGAAGCTCGGAAGCCTGAGCAGCTGAACCCCATTCTACAGACTCAGCTCTCCTCTCGGCTGGCCCCGCAGCTGCTCCTGTGTCTCCCTGGCTATAAAGGAGCGGCCGGAACATGTGAGGCTGTGAGGTGCAGAAGGGGCCAGAATAAGCAGCAAAGAAATCAGATGTATGTTCTGGGGCTGAGTTGACATCATGGCAGGACCGGTCACAGCCCTGTTGACCATAGGGTCCTGTGTCTTCCATTAACTCTTCTCAGGGCGGTTTCTGTTCAGGACAGATTTAGGGGCAAATTCCAGCTTGTCCTTAAGGCTCACCACCTGGGTAAGGTCCTTGCCTAGAAGTTCATCCAGCTTACGATCCTCCCGGCGCTCTGAGATACTCTTTTCTTCCTCCACAGGAAGTGGATCCTTTCCCCTGATGAACCATTCCAGGTGGTAACCCACAGCCCCAACCACAAAGGCCACAGGAAATGTAACATAAGGAGCATAGGTGCGCACCACGGTCCAAAGCACAGGCCACATGACATCTGCAGAAGAGCACAAAGTACCATTAGGGAGAAACAACCGCCCCCTTCTCCACCAAAAATGGGACAGCCCACCAGGCACTCCACTGAACAGGAAGCCTGCCACAATTTACTGAGCAGCCACCCTATGCAGAGTAGTACAAGAGGATAGCCGGTTTTATCCAACAACTGACCCCGTGAAATAACCAAGAAAATACTGGAAGACTTAATTGTTAAGGAAGGTAGGAAGAATCTCTATTTCACGAGCTGTTCTCTTTTGACAACTGTGCAACTATGTATGGCAGTGTTCCCCACAAAAGGACCTCTGAACCTTTCCCAATAGAGGCTGCTGACCTCTGGCTCTCCCTTTCCAGTCTGCCAACATCTCAGAAAGGGCAAAGAAGCCCTTCTCTGCTCTACAAAATTTCTCCATGAACACAGCCAGTCACCACACATAATTCACCACTGTGAATTTCCTGATTCTTCAATAATAAGTAGTTCCTTTTCCTCGTATAAAGTATAAGGAGTGTATTTAAACAGCTAAAACCATAATCTGGCCTAACTATTCTGGACTTAAGATAAAGGTTTTATTCTATTCTTAACTTGGCTTTTCTAACAATGGGACTAACCTGTACTTTACAAATCTGCTGGTCAAACCACTTGTAAAATATATTATCTTAAACCAAACCTGTACCCTTACATTTGCATAGTAAACTCCTAAAAATATGACAGACCGTTAGACATACTTTGGACATTCTAGGGCCCTAGGACTTGAAAATTCAAAATTCTCCATAAAAACCATTGTACAAGCCATGGTGAGAATAGGGCAGGGGAGTAGATTGTCCCAGAGCCTTCTAAAATAAAACAGAACAAACAAAGTAATGTAAAAACACACAAATTGGGTCACTCTAATGTCTAGTCATAAATGATTATCATTATTAATTATAAAAGATCATTCACAATCATAATGATATATACCATTTACTGAGCATTTACTTATTACATGATAAGCCTTAGGTTAAGCACTCTATCTGTATACACACTTATGTATTCTTTTCATCCTGTCCTAAGTAATTCCAATTCTCCTTGAAAGAATTCAAGTGTTTTGTGGACCTAAGACTACAATGGATCAGCCGGGCATGGTGGCACATGCCTGTAATCCCAGCACTTGGATCACTGTGAGTTTGAGACCAGCCTGGGCTACACAGTGAGTTCCAGGTCAGTCTCAACTACATAGTGAGACCCTGTCTCAAAAAACCGAAAAAACAAAACAAAACAAGACTATAATGGATCATCCTAAAGGTGAGAGAAAACCCTGTAGCAGCTTCAAGGTTCTATCCTGCTCCTAATCCTCTGTCTTAGCATCAGGCCTACACTGGGCAATTTTCACATTAGTTATCATCTGATCTGGGTAACACCTCCATGATGTACAAATTATTCGAGCAAATTTTTGTAGAAGGCCACAAATACTCAAGACATTGTTAACTTGCCTAAGATTACTAGAAGCTACAGACTTACTGATTTTAAGCCAAGATCTCTCCAACTTCAAAGACTGTGTTCATTCTCCTGGAAAAAACACAAAACACTGCAAGATAGGCTCATGGCTTCTGTCTAAATCCTGGACTTAGAGGAGAGCCTCCTGCAGTTTTTCCCCATTAGCTTAGCATCCTATTACCTAGCTAATTTTTTTCCAGTACTGGGAATCGAACTCAGAACCCTGTACTTGGGAGGCAAGCCTGGTTCCACTGAACTATATCCCCAGCCCTAGCATTTTATTACCTAGAAGAGCTTCCACTTTTGTTAATTCTGAGATTATCCTGAGAAATCTGTGAAATTCTAAGATATAGACATTAAGAGTGGCACTCCTAAAGAAACCCAAACCTAACACTGTTCTATTTTATTCCCTTTTAAGGTATTTGTCTCTTTCCTAATCAGCACCTCTCCATGTCTCTCTTAAAACTTATCAAGCATCAGTCCACAACTAGTATTGTCTCTCACACGCAGGCCAAAGTCTCTGTCATCCCGCTTATATGCTAGTCACTTCCCAGTTAATTCATTTATGTATTCAACATGGTTATTCCACACATATCATCATTTTCTCCGAGTCAGGCACTGCACTGGATTACCTTACCTGCCTGCATTTCTCCATACACCATAAAGTGACAAGAGAACAAGATCTAAGTCTACTGCGCCCACTCTGCCTTAGCCGTTCCCCCACCCCTTCCACCCTTTTTGGCCCAAAGTGCTAAAAATGTTTGTTGGACGAATGAATGACAGCTGAAGGCTCAAGCAACTCACTCGTGTGGAACCTTAGCAATCATCCACCCACGTGCCAGGAACCCAGGAGATGCCTTTGCTGATGATGAGAAGCTCTGAACTCTACGAAGTCATCCCCGGCGTTAAAAAAATGAAACAGGCAAAAGTGTACTGCAAATACTGTGACGCCTATTTCCAGCCCGACACGGAGGGAGCCTGCTAAAGCGTCCAGTACTAGTATCGGACTGGGCTGCTATGAAGCCTGTCCTTGTGCGTGGGTCCCAGAGACCCAGTGAGACTCGAAACCTCGCTATCAAATTCGAGACTTGCTAACAAGGAAATGGAGGTCGGGGAAGTTGGAAGAATTCGCTCTGACTGAAAGTGAAGCCCAATTCTGAGACGGGAGCAGGAGCGGTCAGGGTTCAATCAGCGGCCTTCCCTGGACCCGCCACACTCAGCCTCGTCAACATCCGCATTCCCTCAAGGGGCCCGAAGCCTAGAACTGGCCGCGCAGAAGGCCAGCCGGGCAACGGAGCGCCGGGAAGCGAGGGCACTGCCAGGCCCAGCCAG